TACCTTCAGAGGTAGAATTAATTTCAGGAAGTGAAACCTTAACTTGAGTAGTCTTAAGCAGTACTGTGAAACTTATCCAGTCAGGTCTTCACTGGAAGAATACTTTTTAGAATTAAGTAAGTATAAGGATCAAAGACAGATATGAGTGTTGACAGACCAGTAGAACAGTTGCAGCTAAGATCCATATCGATTTAGGTCAGAGAATATGCCCCAGGATTATGAAATGCTGAAAATTCTAGCTCAAAATTTAACTTTAACTCAACGTTTAGTTGTTAAACACTGAATGAAGTAGAATCCTGGATAAAATTTGGAAACCAGGGCGCCTGGGTGGCTCCGTTGTTAAGCGTCTGCCTTCGGCTCAGGTCATGATCCCAGGGTCCTGGGATTGAGCCCCACATCGGGCTCCCTGCTCTGCGGGGAGCCTGCTTCTCCCACTCCCACTCCCCCTGCTCGTGTTTCCTCTCTCACTGTGTCTCTCTCTGTCAAATAAATAAATAAAATCTTAAAAAAAATATGGAAACCATGGCTCACCTAGTTTGCTAATTATATATATTTATTATTATTCAAAATCCAAGCTGATATTTAAACAAAACCATGTAAATTCAGTTAGAAATTACCTAAACAATTAATTAAAGGACGGTGATAGGAGGGTTGATGTGATAGCAGATAATTGGTCTCTTCAGTTAAGCCAAACTTTAAGATTAAAAAAGAGATGCCTCACTTCAGAGAATATTTTTAAAGTTTAAAAAAACTAATGTGGAAAGAGTGCATAGGTTGATCTTAACCTATATCTGTACCTCAGGCATCCTGGAAACATAAATATGTGCTCGGTAAAAAAATACTGCCAAAGTTGGAGAATAGAACAAGCGGAGCAATCACTATTGTGATTTATGAATTTATTGGTTTTATGTTATGAAATTTGAAAGAGAGGAAAAAATATACAGGAGTTTCAATGATTTTGAAGATTTTGCCTTAGGACTAAAAAATATTTTTCCTATAAGATTGGTACCTACAAATAAACTTATTTTTTGTGCTTCCATAGTAGAGATCATGTAAGTTAGGAAAAATCAACCACAGCCTCCATGCTGAACAGCAAGTAAAATAGACTTATTTAGTGACCACTGTCTGAAGGATTTAGGGATCCCTAGCTCTGACCTCATACAATTTGATGTTAACATTTTGAAATACATGACCCTTGAATTTTTATCCAAGGCAAACATTTTAATGTTTACATCCAAATAAATCCAAATGCTGAGGAGAAAAGTTTCTGGCACTATGTGCCTTTACTATAGTTAGGATATCATTTTGTTTTGGAAAATTAGGGTGCATTTTCCTTTAAGAATACCGCTCAATGCCACAGGATGTAAAATACAGGCACAGAGTACAAAGTACAGGAACAGCATGGAGAATTTATGGGAACAGGCTGAGATCATGAAAAGGCTGCTAGAACATAGTCCATGAAGACCTGGACGCACAACTAACACTCTGAGTATCATCAAGGGTACGGAGGATGGTCATGGAAGAAGAGGACCCCAGAACCTTCTATCAGGCAGATCCTGTTGTGTTGGTACTATGATTACATTGTAAACATTGAATGTACAAATATTACCAATAATTTTTAAAAGTAATACAACATACAGTGTGTTTAAAACATAGGCTATTTCAACCATAAACCTCATGTCTATTGATTAAAAGTAAGAGAAACACTACTCTGTTGCATTGGCATCAAAATTCAAGGGAGAGAATGTAAAGTAACTATTTTCATTAAAAAGCTCATGTGTGCACAATAGATTCTTCCTATATGCAGATGGGAAGAAATAGAAATCTTTGGGCCAAAGAAGCAAAACTGGTAAGTTAGGTTACGTTCTCGCGGTGCTGGTGAACTTTTAAAAGTGGAATCAGTTGCCAACATTTAATATAATTAAAATGTAAATTGTAATTAAATCATGACAGTCTCATCCATTTAAATTTACCTACCTGGCTCCTGTAGCATGAGTTGGAGATCCCTGTTTTATGGGGTGGGGGTGGGGGTGGAGTCTAATAATCCCTTCCAGAAGAAAATGGTGGAATCTTGGAAGATTATACTGTTTGTTTTGACACTGTTTGGATTATGTCTGTATTGATACCAGTATTCTTAAAAGATATAGAAATCATTATTAATCAACTGTAAACTAAGGGATTTAATTTCAGGAATAATAAAAATATATGCAAGCATATAGGCTTAAATATATAAGGACAGGTATGACCTTTATAAACCTTTATAGACCTCAATAAACTCTGAAGGTTTATTGACTGTTTGGGATCACAGAGGTAAGACTTGAATAGGGCAAGCTGTCCTACACTGGTGTCAAATGTTACATTTCAAAAGCAAAATTCAATACCATTTTAAAAGCTGAGTTTCTAAAGCATTAGTTTGTGTTAAAATTCAGCAGAAAGCTGAACTCACTTTAGAAGAAACATTGAAGAAAAGGAACGCATTTTGATTAGTAACAAGATTATCTAACACAGATCAGTTGGTAGTTAAATACTTATAAATTGTAAAGGCCCAACTGTTTTTAAAAGATTTATTATATATGCCTCCTCTTTCCTGAAAATGTAGCAGGGAACATTTGGTGACTCTGAGTGGGAGCAGGGAAGAATTGAGAGATCTGGTCATCTAAATCTGCAAGAAGGATTATTTATGGATGCCTTTGGAGTATATACTCATTAAGAGCCATCACTTGTCAAGAAATACCTGTGCAACACATAACTACTAGAATTATGAATCGTACTGCCAGGCAGACCTCTTTTCCACTAGATTTGCTTTTCCTGCTCTCTTGAGCTGCTCTGAACCTGAACAGGTGTGTATAGGTGGGCTGCCACAGGTACAGAATTTGTCAATGACGTGACAACTGAAAACCCTGTGCAAAAAAGGGAGGAAAATGATAAAACTCAGGCTGATGCCACTGCATGTGGCCCAAATGATGAGGACATCTGGACCAGGCCAAACAGAAGCATCATCAGAAGCATCCTTTGGAGAGCTGCCCTCACCCCAACAAGATGTATTGGACTCCAAACAGTAAGAGTGCCCCCTGCACTGTGGACTTAGTTCCTGAACCAGATCCGAGTTGCATCATGTTCTGAACTCTGTGCATGCTATTCCCTGTGACTAAGAACTTGCTCCCCCTCCCCTCCTTTCTCTAATTGACTACTTCTTGTTCATCCTTGAGATCTCAGCTTGAATATTACTACCTCTGGAAATCCACCTTGACCTCCCCAACTAAGATAGATGCCCCCTTGTTATTGTGCCCACAATCCCTCCAGGACTTGAAAAGCACTGATCACACTGAATAGTAACCCCTTGTTTACTATCCCCTCATAGCTCCAGAGCTCAATGAGGCCAGGTGCCAGGTCTGCCTTGCTCACATCTCTATTCCTAATGTGGAGTAATTTACTCAGAAGATGCTGGTTGGATGGTTGAATAAACTACAGCTCAACCTGTCTGCTTCTTGGCTCACTCACATACTCTAAACTGGCCTCTGAGCTGTGGGAGTAGTTAATGTTTGTGGACAAGGCTTAGAAGATGACCAACAATGGCTAACAATGGCCTTGATGCCTAACAGAGCTTCCCAAAAGGCAGAAATTCTTGGAACAAATGAACCAGAGGTTCCGTATGGAGGCTGGAACTTCTCAAAAACCTGTCTGGAGGGGCGCCTGGGTGGCTCAGTCATAAAGCATCTGCCTTTGGCTCAGGTCATGGGATCGAGCCCTGCATCGGGCTCCCTGGTCAGGGGGAAGCCTGCTTCTCCCTCTCCCACTCCCCTTGTTTGTGTTCCCTCTCTCACTGTCTCTCTCTCTGTCAAATAAATAAATAAAATCTTTAAAAAAAAAAAACACCTGTCTGGAAAGAATGAAGTGGGAAAGAAGGATACATGTGTGAAGGGGAGGAGGAAACTTGGAAATATCTCTTCAAGGCAAAGTAGAAGTGATAACATCTTGACCTCAAATTGAGAATCAGAGACCAGAGGTCAGATAATCTAAAAGGATAAAGGAAGGATTTCATGGAGGAAAGAACTCCACAATGGACCCATGAAGCTACCAGAGCCCCCTGTAAGTGCAGACAGGGAGCATGAAGTCGGAGAGGATGTGCAGAATCAGTAGGAGTTAATAAAGGCCTGTTAACAGGGTTCCGTTCTCTCCCTGATCATGGGCAGCTTCTTCCGCCTAACAACACCATGACTGATCTTGGGTAAGGCAGGGAGACAGTCTTATCCAAGGGAGAGAGTCAGCAGACATCAGGGCTATAGGCAGATATCCTGGAATGATATAAGACCCAAGGGTGAGAAAGACACCAAAGAACTGATACCAGAAGCTAGCATCACTTTTCCAGTATGGAAGCTGGCTGGAATATAGCTGGTTGTCAAAAAGCACGGGCTTTCTACCCCTCCTGTTATTAAGAAGCATTGGTCTTTCTGCACCGGGAAAGAGTGCTGCTAAAAAAAACCTTCAAAGACTTGCCATGGTCCTCAGTATAGAGTCAAATTCCTTCACATGGCCTGCAAATTCTGTCTTACCAGACTCATCTTTTACCACAAGTAATTGGCAATTGCAGTGAAGAAATGAGTGGCCCCAGTGCAGAGTGGACTGGGTCCTCTCTGATCAGAAGAATGTGAAAAAAGAGAATAATTCCATCCTGGTTTTCCAAACAAATCTGGAAGTCCCACCTGAAAAAACAGGAATGAACTCTCTGCAGGGCAAGGTGACAAGAGCCCCCTTCTTTATCTCCAGCATCTTCTTAGGCTCTTCCTGCTTCTTTTGAGTCTAGGGACCTTGGGACCCCATCCCTCCTCAGTCTGAGCTGGGAAGACTGAGCTGTTTCCGGAGCTGAGCAACTCTGGGACCCACTTTCCCCCAACCCAAGGAAGCTCTACTAATAAACCATGGGTAGGACTGACTCAAGGAGTAGGCCCACCACCCCCGACATGGGTGATACCCTGAGGTTTGTCACATAGGGAAGTTACCTCCTCGGCCCTCACTGGCAGCCGGCTTCACTTGGATCGGACGATTCATCTGAAAGACATTGGACCAACACACCCAGTCAGCATGACTGCCTGGTCCTGGCACCCTGCTTCTCCTCCCCTCGATGCCTCAGGATCTAAGCCCTGGCCCCTTCGAACTCTGTACTCCACCACTCTCACGATGGACTATAGATTTTCTCCAAGATTCTTCCTTAAACTAGGGAATTCAGAAGGTGCTGAAACCTGAAGGGTGGGGTGATAGGAAGCTTGGTGGCAAGCCAGGATGGACTGTGATGGCTAAAGAGATTCTGCTTTAGGCTCTGGGCTGGGACTATGTGAGGCCTGTCCCTCTGGCTCCTGGACTTCCTTAAAGGCTTTGGGTGAGGAGTTGGGTGGGAGGGTGGAATGGATACTGAAGATCTGTGTTTTGTTCTAAAACTGAGAATATAATTCTATATGTCATTTAGATTAAACAATCTGGGAATCAGACTTAGTGCTGTCTACCCCAACTCTGCCTTTTCATGGTTGCGTGACTTCAAGTAAGCCACCCTCTCTCAGAGTCAGCTTGTTAAATGGGGAAAACCTTCCCCAGCTTCTGTGTCACCACAGTTTCTACACTCACCCCCTCAGTTCCCTCCCTGGGCCCCCTTCCCTTGAGGACGCTGGCATTCTCCAGCGCACTATCCTCGGCCCTGCTCATCCCGCTGTTCCCATTCTTCCTGGATAGTCTCGCCCACACCCACAGCCTCAGCTACCATCCCCACAGGGCTGACTCAGAGCTCTGCATCCCCAGCCCACACCTCCCTCTTGAGCTTCAGACCCATGTACCCAGCTACTTGCTGGACATCGTGACTAGAAAGTCCCGCTGGCATCTTCCACTCAACGCACCCACACCAGAGCTTATCTTTTTGCCCGGACCTGATCCTTCCAATCATCCAAGCTAGAAACCTGGAAAGCAGCTTGACTCTTCCCTTTATCCCCTCCCCCACCAACCGATTTCACCTTCTAATTCATGGGTTCCCTGATCGGGGGTGGATGAGAATCACCTGGGAACCATACCAGACTCTCAAGTTGGGGGATTGTATAATTTGCAAAAGCTCCTAGGTGATTTCGACATACACCCCCACACATTCCCATCCCCCAACCACCCTGAGAGAATTCATGATTGAATCCCCATCTCACCTTCCTCTCATGGGTGTTGTGGGGATCACATGAGATATTGGGGACGCAAAAGATCTTTGTAAACTGCCAAGAGCTGGGTGCGTAGGATGTGAGGAATTATTGTTGGGGGCAGACAGCTGAGTGCCGGGAGGAAAGAACAGCGGCCTTCCCGTTCATGGAGGAAGGGGTACTGATGCCCATCTGGCCTGAGAAGGTGATGATCTGACCCCCTCCCTTCAGGAAATGCACTGTTTCTGCACCAATCAGGGCCACTCCATCCTCTACCAATGTGCTCGTTGCCGAGACAACAGGCAGCTTCCTGTTACCATAGCCACAAGTGCTACCCAGTAACCATGGTAACGCCCTGGCAGTCACAGTTGAGCAATTTCCTTTGGATCAAATTTGGGGGTGGAGGAGTGGGGAGGCCTTATTAAAAAAAAAAAAAAAAAGGAAAGGAAAGGAAAAGAAGGAAAGGAAAGGAAAGGAAAGGAAAGGAAAGGAAAGGAAAGGAAAGGAAAACAGGCCAAGACTGAACCAGCACAATCCCCCTCCCACCCAAGGCTCAGGATCTTATACGCTCTGACACACCCACCCGCTGGTGGTGGCGCCCCTGCCGTGTACCAGGTTGTGGGTGGGGGCCGAGACACCGACAGGACTCAGGCTGCAGTCTAGAGGGGATGACAGATCAATCCAAGCAGATCAGGGCGAGCTGGACAGGTCTGGATTGGCCGGGACCAGGGACCAGGAGGAACGGGAACCGTCCCTGGGCATGGCCACCTGTGATTGTGGAGGAGAGACCAAGAGACAGAGCCATGGAGAGCAGAGGAACAAGGAGAGATGAAGAGACACAAGAAGACAGAAATGATGAGAGAAAGAGACAGACCCAGAAAGGGGCAAGGAAAGAGAGAAATACTGGTGGATATGGGAAGGAAACGAAGGGATAAGGAGTCAGGAAGGGAACACAGGAAAGGCAGGGAGGAGTATGGCAGGGGAGAAGGAGAGAGGGGTAGAAGCCTGGGGTGGGGCACAGTGAGGGTGAGCAAGACCATCATTATTTAATTAGTTCTTAAATAGATCCTGAGAATTTCTCCCTGGAACCTAGAGTGACAAGCACATGTGACAGCAGTGGTTTCCATGGCAGCTGCCTCCCCGGCTGGGTTTCTGGAGAGATGGAGCTCATCAGTGCTCTGGGGGATGCCCCTTTCTCCCTCCCCCGCTCTCTCACTCTTGAATGGAGAGTGGGCATTAGGTGGTATATACATGTTCCATAGACCTGGCAGAGTCCAAGCCTCAGAGTCTGGGCACCTAAGCTTTCCACCACTCGGACATGCTGCCTGCATTTCCTGAACTCTGTGAAGAGCCCCAGCAATGACCCTTGAGATCCTGTCCTCAATGACTTATAGAGGGGAAGATAATGCCACCATTTCCTAAGAGCCATTATGCACCAGGCCCTTTCTGGGACACTATACATACATTGTCTCTAAATTCCTTCCAACTGCTCTGCAAGGTAATACCATTGTCCCCGTAGTATAGATGGGAAAGCTGAGGCTGAGGGAGGTTAAATCACTTGTCCGAGATCACAGGATGGGTAAGCGGTTGAGCTGGGATTTGTCCCCAGGTCTGTCTGAAGCTGAAGACCATGTTTTTGCATTGTGCTGCTCAACTCCAACATGAACACAAGTAATGAGGCATAGCGTGACCAGGGCCTTAGGAGAAGTGCAAAGTAGAGTGCTGTAGGAGAAGCTGACTCCAGCTGGAGAGGGTTGACACAGGGAAAGCTTCACAGAGGAGGCAAAATTTGACCTGGGCCTTGCAGGACTGGGGTCATTGGGCCATGTGGAGATAATGGGAGTGATAGAGTTGGAGACTGAGCACTCCAGATGGCTGGGGGGTGGAAAGGGAGCTGCAAGTCTGAAGGAGCAAGGATTCTGGTAAGTACCTGCCATGGAGGTAGCCAGGGTAGAGCAAATTGCTTCTGAGTCATATAGATGTGGATTTAAATTGTGGCTCCATCACTGGCAACTTCTCTAAGGTCTTTGAGCCTCAGTATACACATTAGTAAAAGAGGGAATCATGATCCAACCTGCAGTGTTGTGTTTGTTTGTTTGTTTTTAATGGAAGGGTGTAAAACTAAAAGGTAGCCAATGACCAGATTGGGGCAGATTGTGAAAACCACAACAAGAAATTTTGGCTTTGTTGTATTTCAAAGGCAATAGGGATCTAGGGAAGGATATTAAGTGGGGAAAGATCCCATGAGCTGTCACTATGCAGAAAAAAAGGTTGGAAAGGGAAAGATTAGAGGTGGGAAGATCAATGATACAGGTAAGGGGTAGGGTGACCTGGACCAGGGCAGAAGGAAGTGGACAGATTCAAGAGATGTTTAGGATGAATTAACTGGACTAAAGTTTTATTGGATGTGGGAACTGAGGGAGAGAAGGAAATATTGGCTGACTTTTAGGTTTATGGCTTAGGTGTTGAGGAAGTTGGCAGTTTGGGAGTTTGGAGATGCAGGGAAAGTCCCAGGGGAGCAGCCCAAGAGGATGAGGAGAGTTGGGGAGAGTGGTTTTTCTTTGGTCCCCACTGGGAAGTGGTTAGAGAGGACACCTGGGATTTAGGTATACTCTGTGTGACTGGAGGAGAAAGAGAGCTGGCTACATGAACTGCCTAAGCAACACTACCCTGCCTCGTTCTTGCCACAGCCAGGGGAAGGATGTGGAAGTAGGGTGAGGTAATCCCAGTTCCCCCTTGAGGAAAAGAGGGCATTGCATCCTTGGCCAAGAATTTGTCATGGGACCTCAGGTGAGCTCCTGCCCTTGGCTGAGTACCTATTCCCTTGAGAGTTTCCCAGGTAGAGTCCAGGCCCACGTCTGCTTCAGGGCCCAGCCCTGCCAGGGAAATCAAGGGAGAGAATATCAGAAAGAGGAGAGAAGAACCTATTCCAGGCAGTGGAGTGGGGAAGTTTGGAGGCAGCACAGACAGATATGAGGCCCTGGTACTTTGGCTCCCGTGAGCAGAAGGGAAGGCAAGGCCCTACCCCTTTTCCCTGCTTGACTTGCCTAAAATTCCTGCTTTGGGCTCAGCCTTGCCCTCTTCAGACAATTCTGACTTGATGCCAACTATTCCTTACACTTAGCATTTGTGCCCTCAACCTCTTACCCCCGTTATGGAAAGAATATTTATCAGGATTACTGGTGGGTCTAAGAGAGGTGTCATGGATGCAGGGAAGAGAGAGGCAGAGAAAAAGCAAACTTCACAACTTTCAGCTCTCTGTTCTACCTCACCCTCTCTTCTAATCCAATCCACTGCCAAGTCCCACTAGTTTTAGCATATGTAGGGATATCCTATATAGCTCTTAAGTCTATCCTCTCCTCCCCATTCCTGTCCTACCCCCAGCTCTAGGCCAGCATCATTATTCAGCTGCACTCAAGCAGCAGTGTCCTAAAGGATCATCTGCCTCCAGTGTTCCTTTCTCTCTAACCCAACCATCATACTATAGCTGGAATGAACTTTTTAAAACCAGTCCCTCACTCTTCCCTGATTAATATCCACCCATGGTTCCCCATTGCAAGCCTCCCAATAAAGCCCAATATCCTAAGACTGGCAGTCCAAACGTGTGAGTCCTGCCTCCCTTGCTGCCCCAAATACATAATACTCTCCATTCACATGGAGCCTTGGCTGTCTTCATTGGACACCTTTCCTGCCAGTTCTCACACTGTACCCAGAATTCCAGAAATTGCCTTGTCTTTTAGCTTTCTAGACCCTCAAATGTGATGAAATACAGTCATAATTGGGCTCAGGTAGCATTTCCTCTGTGAAGCATCTCCTCTGTCTCTACTCTTGATGCTTCTTTTATGTGCCCAGGTGTAAACTGCACTGAGATGCAATGAGTTATTTTTGGCCTGGAAAAAGCTCCTTGAGGGCAAAGGTTCTGATTTACTCACTAGGCAGCTGCTACACATACAGTGCCTTTGTGTGAGTTACAAAAAGGCACTCCCCCAACTCTGTGGATGAATTAGAAAAAAATGTGCCTCTTCCTTTGGGCTGACACAGCCCTGTGATAATGTTCATGGCTTGGCCAATAGAGCATGGCTGAATTTTAGCTCCCACTGCCCTTTCCACACAAGCTGTTTTGTGCAGAGCACAACCTGCAAAAGCAAATGCACTCGGTTGTCTGTCTCCTTCACAGTGTTTGAAGGGATGAATGCCCAAGGGAAAGGAGGTCATGAGCAGGGAGAGAGACAAGTAGGGGGGCACTCTCTGGGCTAAGGTTGGGCCCACCTTCTTTAGGTAGATTCTGGAGCCTAAAATGAGGCTGTAAGAAGTAGCTTTAGCTTTATGGAGAAGAAGCTACAGAAGATGGGACAGACCATTGAGGTTTAAGGAAGTCCTGAGTAGGGAGCCAAGTTTTGATAGGTAACAGAAATTAGCAGGTGCATGTGGAGTGAAGTCAAAGGGAGGTCCCAGTCCAGTAGATACTATGAAATTGTCCCTAGGGGTTCAGGCTTTCTCTTGGGGGAGACCCAACCTTTTCTGCTCCCAGAGTGACAGTCCTGCCTGTCTCTAGTAGGAGCCCAGATTCAAGTCTTTCCCTGCTTCTCCAGCAGATGGCAGCTGTGCCCAGGACCCAGTGCCTACAGGGAGCTGGACACCCTCCTCCCTTCATGCTGGTGGGCCTGAGGCCAGGTGACTAAAGCTGCTGCTGCCCCTGGCAGGCCCAGAGGAAAGATTGATGGCACGGACATTGCTTGGGCTGGCCAACAGAGCCATTGATTTTCATTTAGGAGAATAATTAAATATTAATTTTCACTTTGTTAAGCTGGAAATGGTGAATAAAGCCATCCTGGCAGTACAAAGCCAGGCCATGTTGGAAGCCTGTGGATGAAAGGGTGGGAGAGGGCAGATGTACCCAGTCATGATCCCCTCCAGAACCTTAGACCCCTGTCTGCCACCAGCTTGGCACAGGTAATAGTATAGTGGTTAAGTGAATGAGTTCTGGAGCCAGACTACCTGGATCTTCCCAAATCTTCCTACCAGTAGCTACATAACCTTGGGCAAGTCACTTGTTTCCTTTGACTGAATTTCCTCATCTGTAAAATGGGAAGGCCAATAATACCTTCTTCATAGAGGAATAAATGACTTTGTACATGCAAAATACTAGGAACATTGTCTGGAATCAACAAATGCTAGTTACTATTCTCTTTTCTCCTTCAGAAATTATTCCACTAGTCTAGAGCTTCACAACTCTTATCTCAGGTGCCCTCAGCCTCATACAGTCCTCCCTTTGTGGAGCCCTTTGTGGCTGGTTGAAGAGGGTTTTTTTTTTTTTAAGATTTATTTTTTATTTGACAGAGAGATAGAGAGCACAAGTAGGCAGAGAGGCAGGCAGAGGGAGAGGGAGAAGCAGACTCTCCACCGAGCAGGGAGCCCAACACAGGGCTTGATCCCAGGACCCTGGGATCATGACCTGAGCCGAAGGCAGCTGCTCAACCAACTGAGACACACAGGCGCCCCCCCCCTTTTTTTTAATTCCAAAGTTCATTTTAATTTTTTCAGTGCTTCCATTTGCTTTCAGGATGAAGTCCAAATCCCTCAGCCTGGCATCCAAAGTTTCCTCTTCCACCACTGCCCTCTGGTGGATCTTCTCTCTGGCCTGGCCCATGCTCACACGGGCCCTCCTCCACACTCCCAACCCCATTTCACACCCATCTTGTTCCTTCTGTCTCTGCACCTTTACCATGCTGTTTCCCACATGGAATGTTACAGTTTGTCTCAGTGCCTTTCAGTTTTAGCAGCAGAAGTCATCTACTCCCATGGCTGGATGAGTAATAACTTCTACTACTATCCCTACGAATGCTGCTGTTACTATTACTACTACTACCACCACCAGCTAACCCATATTGAGTGCTTGTTTTCTACCAAGAACTGTGCCAATGTGAGTTAGCTCAATTAATTATTATAACAATTCTATGAATTCGGTTTTACATAGGAGGATGCTTAGGCTTAGAAGTAAAGACTTGCCCAAGGCCATACACAGAGTTAGTGAGTGGTAGGGCCTGGATCCACACCCAGGTCTGTCTGACTCCAGAGCCTACACACAGAGACTTGGTGAGGGTAATACATTGGTGTTACTTGACGCTGAGTATTCAAGCGTGAGGCTCAAGATGCTTCAATTACTGGGATTGGTCCTATGAGCTGATGGTCTACTAACAGCTTGATCAGCTCTAGGCAAAGATTGTGCCATTGCTGGACAGCTTCAATTCAGGAAAGTGATATCTTTATACTGAGCTGAAATTAGAGTGTCTGTTCTTTATACCCACTGATCCTGATCCTGCACTCTAGAGCCACCCATAGAAAACCAAATCCCTCTTCAGAATCTGAAGGTGGTTGCCCCCACCCTAACAGTAATATTTATTGAGATCTTACTCTGTGCCAGGTACTTGCTAAGCCTCAGTTAATCCTCATGCTAGCCCAGTGAGCTGTTAGTATAACCCACTCCTTATAGATGAGGAAATTGAAGCTCAAGAGTCTAAGTAATGTATCTGGAGACACAAAACTTAAATGACAAAACTAGGATTCAAATCTAGATTTGTGAGACTCAAAAAGTAGTATTTTTAATCATTACATTGTGATGCCTCCCTATTAAAGCTCCCATTAAACCCTATCTTCTCCAGCCAAATATCTCCAATTTCTTCAAACCATCATCCATGACATATTTTATGTCCCCATCCCATCCTGGTCACTTTCTGATAGGCTAATGATCCTCCTAAGTCTGAAGCTTAAAACTGGATATAGTCCCAGGCTTGGCCTGCTCAGGGCATTTGAATAGTGCTTTTGTTGTAGACACATCACTCCTTTGACAAGAGAAAATGAGACTCTGTCGTACGATTTGCTCTTGGTGAACCCACACTAGTTCCTAACAGTCACCATTCTCTTCCTGCCACATGGTCCATAGGTCCCACTTTGCTTTTTGTCCATGATTAGCCATTAGCTAAGGCCATACCAGGTGCCATTGATATATAATGGCCTAACTGCACACATATAATCAGGTCCTCTTAGCTTTAACCAAGTGTTTGGGGGAAAGCAATCTTGGTGAGTCAAGGCACCAAAAAAAAAAAAAAAATTTACTGGAAGAGGACAGAGAGAAGTGCTATAAAGGACCCTAGAACTGGAAAAAATAGGATACCAGCCCAGCAGTCTCTACCCCATGTATCTGCATATATTCTCACACCAGGGACAAATGACATATGAAGCCATGATTTTAGCTAAGGCTGACAAATTCTAGCATAGCCCACAACACTGACGCCTCTCTGAAAAGGTACAGTGGAACACTTGGCCCAAGTGTTAAGCCCATTTCTTTGAGCCAGAAGACTAAATAACAAAGAACCTATAGCTATTCAGGGCACAGGTAAGCCAACTCTTAGAAAGGTGACTCTGCTTCTAGTTCCTGGTCCCAACCCAGCCCCTACATCCTATTTTGGCATGCACATAGGGCATGTCCCCAGCCTGAGGTGAACCCCACCCCCCAACCCTGGTGGACTTACCCCTGGCAGGGTCTTCTGCTCGTGCAGTGCACTCTGGGCCTTGAGAGCAGAGTCCCGGGCGCAGTAGGTGAGGAAGGCACAGCCTGGGGAGGAAGAGGCTGGCTCAGGGGGTTTCCTGAAACCCCCAAATACTCTTCCTGGAAAGACCCCATTAAGTGACAAACTCAAGGCCACTCTCCTTTAACAAGGGCACTGCTCTGAGAAGCCTTCTCTGCCTCCCACCTTCTCTGAAGGGAGGGGCTTCATGTGTCTGAGTCCCAGATTCTGGCTCCCTCTCATTTGCTCCTGGCTTCTTGCCTAGGGAACATGTGTACCCACATCCAGCCACATGCTCATACAATCCCACATCTCCCCTCCCCACTCCAGCCGTAAGTCTGGTTGGGGTTAAACCTCCCTAAGCAGCTTTGCCTTCAGCTTTAACCCCAGCCTCTCCATTCCTTTTCGGATTCATACTCACAGAGTCTCCCAGAATCAACCTCAATTCCTTCCCAACTCAGTTTCAGATGGGAGGAGGCAAAAAAGAGGAAGAGGGTTGGGAGCCAAACCCAGGACCCCACAACTTCTTCTTAATGCCTCCCTCCTCCAAGTTTGAAGCCGAGGAATGGGTTAATTTGAGGCTTGCAAGATGGGGCTAATTTAAGGACTTTCTGTAGAGAGGAGCTTTCAGGGACCTCCAATCCTATCCAAGGAGCTTGATCTGTCAGGTCTCCCAGTACTTCAAGATAGGGCCTGTTAAAGGGTTATTGTGCCCCAAATCTTACTTCTCTAAAAGAGCCAGTAGTTATGGGACAGAGAAGGAGACTCGGTTGAGCCAAAGGATCAGTCCTTCTCCTCTTTAGGTTCAGCCTCAGAAACTGTAGCCTGCTAGGACGCACTGAGGCAGGGATCTCCTCTTTTCCAACAGCCATTGAGCACTCACTCATTCAGAAAATATTTGTTGAATACTTATTACAGTGGGGCATTATAACGGGCTTGGGGATGAAGTGGTAACAAGACAGACACGTTCCCTACTCCCATGGGGATTACGTAAAGAATCATGAGGGGAATGTAATTTGAGTCCAAAGGGTTGAGGAATGCTTCAAAGAACACATTGAATCCTCAATAGCAAATAGGGCTTAACCAGGTGACAAGAAAGAGTGGTGATTATTTCAGGCTGAGGGAATAGCACATATGAAGACTGAGGCAAGAATTTGATGTCTTGGGGAAATGGATGGAAGACTAGTATGGTTGGAGATTGGTGAAAGGAGGCACAGTGGACGGTGAGGTGTGCAGGGATCAGGTCATCTATAACCTTGTATGCCTCAGTCTGGATTTTGAACTTTTACCTAAGAGCAATGAAGAGCCACTAAAGGATTTTAAGCTGGGATCTGACATGATAATATCTATGTTTTCAAAAAGAGCCTTCTGAGTGTAGGAAGGAGAAAGACTGAAGGAAGAGAAAGTGGATGTGAGAAGCCATTAGGAGCTTCATGAAGTTTTCTACTTAGACCTCAGCAGACTGGGAAGGCAAATGGAACATTTTTTCTGATGTCTTCTATGTGGCTGCCCCCTTAAGGTGGGTGGCTATCTGTTATTCATTAAATTAAAGGGACCTTAGAGAACACCTGAGACAAACTCCTATTGTATCAATAGGGAAACTGAACCCAGAGAGTGTGTCAGTGGCAGAATAGGGTTTCAAATCTCCTAACTCCTAGGCTGACGTTGTTTTCAAAGCACCGTGGCTGCCTCCCTCAGTACCCAGTCATCAAAAGGAAAATGAGTCACTCTGGCTTTTGGATATCGCTGTTCCTGGGGAGAAAGTGGGGAAGATGTTGACTTGGAGACCCTCCCCAATCATCTTGCAAGGCAACCCTGCCTTGGAGAACTTCGGGTTGGTTTGGGGATAAATCCCCAAACACCTGATTTTGCTTACATCTCTGCTCCATCTTCTGCCACTCAGCCATATCAGCTGACGTCAGAACTGGGCAGGGCCAGGGCCCTGTCTGAAAGTCTCAGGGGCCCAACTGCTGCCCAAAGGAGCCCCATGTGGACTACCTGGGGTAGGTGGTGGAAGAAGGAGGGATGGAAAGACAGAGAAGCACGGCTTGAGGGAGAGACACATGAAAATAAAAAACAGGAAGAATTAGAGCTAAATGGAGAGGGAGAAAAAGGATGAGGGAAAAATTCAGAGACTCTGGTGGTATTTGAATGAGAAGAGTGAGAATTAAAGGTATCTTATACACTTCTCTTATTGTACAGATGGCCCAGAAAGATTAGCTTGTGCTTACATACAGAAATAAATGTCTGGAAAATAAGAAAGCGAGTTGCTATGGATGGATGGACAGCCAGGCAGTTGGACTGCATTAGAAGGAATCTGGATGGTATAGTCTTATTCTTTCATGCCCCTTTTAAAGTAACCCCACCCCAAAGTATCAAAGACACATTGCTACCTCGCTGGTCCCAGATCTTCTGTGGGCATTTTTGTGAAGCCCCTGTGTAAGTGTGCCTAGGAACTTTCCAAGGCCTCCCAGTTGAAAAGAGGTGGTAGCCTGATTGCAGCTCTCAACCCTTAGGAAAGTACCTTTGGCTATTACCCAGGGTCCATGACTTTTCTCCTAGGAAAATCATGGAGAATAGTTGGTGACCCTTCCCCCTCAAATCCTGAAACTGAAGCATGGAGAAGGTGGGGAGAGGTAGAGGTGTCTCTCCTCAAATAATTTCCTTCCCCAGCCCACGTATGACATGTGACTCTGGCTTTCTTACTCTAGCCCAGCCTGGACAGAGTTTTCTGCATGTAAACAAGCCTCCTCCCTCTCTCTACAGGAAGAAAGGGGTGTGGCTGGACAGGACTGTGGTGCCTGTCTCTCTAGCAAGGGCAGGGAAAAAAATCTCTTCTGCTTCTTCAACCTGACCCACCCTGAGGCTCTGGTTCACAGGCTCTGCTCCAGGACCAGCCTGTGAAGGAGGGAAAGCAGGAGGCCATAAAGAGGATTGGGGAGGGGTAAAGATGAGGCACCAGAGTGGGGAGATTAAAGGATAAAAGAAATGTGGGTTCAGCTGACAGGAAACCTGAAATGAGAGGGCAAAAGGTGGCAGATTTTCCCAGCTGAGGTCAGGGTTCTGGACTCAAGTCAGAAGAGGCAGAGTGTTGGCATTCTGTCAGGGGGTTGGAGAGATTGGGTTATTGTCAAACGTAAGGGTGGAATTTGGAGCCGTGAGCCTCCTCGAGGAGAATTGGATTTTGTGAGTTAGCCAGGCCTGGATTCTGAAGAAGGGAGGACTTTGGGTTGGGGAGGGGGTGGTTAGCAGTCTGCACCAAAGGAAGGCTCTGTGGGGGTTGACTGAGCTTGGAGGCCAGAATGAGGGGTACAAGTCCAAGATGTGTGTGCGGGTGGTTAGGCCTGAGTGGGGGTGGCACCAGATTGGGGGAGGAGGTCAGAAATGATTGGGTCCAGGGTTTGGGAGATTGAGGGCATTAGAGACCGAAAGGTCAAATAAGTTTCCTAATTCCAGGTTTTGGGGTGTCTGATAAGAGCGATGGAGGGAGGTCCAACTGAAAGGTCGGGACTGTTGGGATGTGAGAGGTGAAGGGTAGGGAGTTAGAGGTTAGAGTGGAGAACATGTCAGGGGATCAGAGTGATGATCAGTGGGAGGATGTCAGAGAGAAAATTCTGGGTTGGGGGGTTCTGTGATCTGGGGAGGAGACTGGGCTGAAGTGGGACTGGTATTGGACTGGTGTTGGACTGACTCTAGGCAGAGCTAAGGTTGGGGCTGCGGTTGAGGCTGGGGTTTGGGCCGGGCCCACTCTAATCGGATTGGGGCAGGGCTGGGCTGGGCTGGGCTGGGCTGACCCCGCGCACCTTTGTGGAGGCCGGTGAGCCGGTCCTTCAGCACCGTCAGCTCGTAGATGCGGCCGAATTCCTCGAACAGCGGCTTGAGGTCCTGCTCGTCCAAGCCCCGCGGGATCTGCCCCACGAAGAGCTTGATGGCGTCGTGGTCCTTCATGGGCACGGCAGGACCGGGGTTTAGCCCGCTCATGCCGACGCCGCTGTCCGCGGTGCTGAAACCCAGGCGCGGGCCGGGGCCGGCGGGCGGCGCAGACCCTCCGGGCGCCGCGGCCATATCCCCGCCCGGTCCGCCCTCCCGCCGGTCCCACCAGTCCCGCCTGTCCCGCCGTCCCCTCCCTGGACCGATGGCGAGGGCCAGGGGGGAGGGGGCGGGGTCCGGGCTGCGGGGGCGGGGGGCTTCACAGGGGGCGGGGTCCGGGTGGAGGGGCGTAGAGGGGGTGGGGCGGGCTGGAAAGGGGCGGGGCCGGGGGCGGGGCAGGACCGGGCCGAGGCGGCGGGACGCTGGGGTCTGGGCTGAGGTCCCCGCGCGGCGCTATCCCGGCTCCCGCCCGAGCTCTCCCGGAGCCGAGCCCCGAGCCCCAGCCCCCGTGCTTGGTGACGTCAGGCAGCCGGCCGCCGAGTCTACGCAAATGATTTGCATAATGAGGAGGCAGCGACCAATCAGAGCTGGAGTTGACCGGGCTTGGCTGGGGGCGGGAGGGGCGGCTGGGCTCACGCGCTCCTGTTCGCCATGGCAACTGGACCCTCGGACGCCCTGTGTGTGTCGAGTGTGTGCGGGCGTGGCTGTGGATCGCGCGTGTGCGCCTTGGACCGCGTGAGGGGAAGTAGCTTCGTCATGCGTGGTGATGTCTGCGGGAGTTGGAGCTAGCCCCCTCCTCACACACAGGCACACACGCAGCCACACACACCTCCAATCACTGGAGCGTTTCCTGCGGGGGTGGATGGGGATTCCTCTTCTTCATTACCACTACCAAAGCCAGTTCCTCGGAGCCGATCCCACCCCGCCCCATCACACTTCTCTCTTCGGTGTCTTCACTTCCTTAACCACGAGCCTCAAACACGTTCGTCTCCCCTCCATCCCCCCCAAAATAAAAGTAAAAATAAATTCTTAACGAGAGAAAAAAGAAAAAAACAAAACAAAACTCTAAAACATTCCTTGGACACTGATTCCTTCGCAGGAGAGTGAGAGAACTTACATTAGCCACATTTTCTCAGTTGCCTCGTTCATCCCAATTCCGTGAGCTTAGAAGTGTTATCCTCCTTCTCCGGGAAAGGAGCTGCGGGTCTGAGAGTTAAGGAGGTTAGGACAGGCCCTCCCCTAACATCAGCTGGGCCCAGGGTAAGAGAAGAAAGGGAGATAGATATACCGTGTATCTAAATATTTAAAAAGATACAAATCAAGTTACAATTTGTTAAATATGTTCGCCTCTAATTTTCACAAATATACGTCTATAATAAAAATAAAAAGTATGTGTAGAGCGGTTTTTTATACGGCTGAAAGTTGGCAAAATATCAGAGCTAATGGAATCTTACTACTCTTGTTTATGTTTGACTGTTTTCTTGATAGGCTAGTGATGTTTGAACAGAAGAATCCAATAGAGATAAATAATTTATAAATTCTATAATTATTTCGTAAATTTTTTTCCTTGCTTTCTTTCAACAAAATTGCTAACCTCTGCTGATTGACCCCTCCAAGAAACCATTAAAGAGCAGCAGTAGTAATTGGAATTAACAAAATATTCTTATGGAAACATTCAAATTAAGAAATAAATTGTGATTTTAAATTTTTTTAACTTTTAATAAAAGCTACCCCTTTTAATTACCTAATTATAAAGTATGTTACCAGAATATTTCACTTTCCTTCAGTTTGATGTATTTTTTAACTTCCTTGAAACTTGCTCTTTGACCCATGGATTATTTATAACTGTATTGTTTAGTTTCCAAGTGTTTGGAGACTTTACTGTTATCTTTCTGTAATTGATTTCTAGTTTGAGTTCATTTTGGTCAGAAATAATCTGTACGATTTCAATCCTTTTATATTTGTTGAGGTTTTGTTACCCTCAGAGCATGATCGAACTCAGTAAATGATTTGTTGGTGCTTGAAAAGAATGTATATTCTGCTGTAGTTGGGTGGAGTGTTCTATAAATGATCATTAGAACCTGTTGCTTGATGATGTTGTTGAGTTCTTCTATATTCTTTTTTATTTTTTAAAAAAATTTTATTGTTATGTTAATGACCATACATTACATCATTAGTTTTTGAGTTCTTCTATATTCTTGCTGACTTTATGGGCAGTTGTTTTATCAACTGTTACTTGTGAATTTAACTATTTCTCCTTTCAGTTCTATTAGTTTTTGCTTCACGTGTCTTGTAGTTCTGTTGATTGGTTCATACAAATTTGGAATTGCTATGTCTTCTTGGTGAATTGACTCTTGGATCATTATGTAATGTCATTCTCTGTTCCAGATAAATTTCTTGCTCTGAGATCTCCTTTTATCTGATATTAATATAACCATCCCTGATTTATTCTGGTTAATGTTTGCATATCTTTTTCCACCATTTTATTTTCAACCTACCTATACTGTTATATTTGAAGAGAATTTCTTGTAGACCGCATATAATTGGGTCATTTGAAAAATCCAAGCTGCCAATCTTCATCTTTTAATTGCTGTATTTGGACCATTTACATTTAATGTAATTATCCATATGTTAGGGCTTAAATCGCCACTTAGTGTTTTTTTGTTGTTGTTTTCTTTTTGTAAGATTTTATTTATTCGAGATAGAGCGAGAGTGAGCAAGAGAGAGAGAGAGAATGAGTGGGGGGAGGGGCAGAAGGAGAGGAAGAAGCAGGATCTCCACTGAGCAGAGAGCCCGACATGGGGTTCGACCCTGGGATCATGACCTGAGCCGAAGGCAGACACTTAACCAACTGAATCACCCAGGGGCCCCAGTTTCTTTATTTTCTTTTGTCTTTTGCCTTCCTCAGGGTTTTTTGTTCCTTATTCTATGTGTATCATACATAAATATCACAGTTTACTGGTGTTAAAATTTTACCAGTTCAGGTGAAGTACAGAAAACTTACCTACTTTTAAGTCCTTTTATATTCCCTCATTTATAATATAAGGGTCTTAAATATGTTTTCTCCATATTTTTTTTCTTTTAAAGATTTTATTTATTTGACAGAGAGAGACACAGCAAGAGAGGGAACACAAGCAGGTGGAGTGGGAGAGGAAGAAGCAGGCTTCCCGCCGAGCAGGGAGCCTGATGCGGGGCTCGAACCCAGGACCCTGGGATCATGACCTGAGCCAAAGGCAGATGCTTAAATGACTGAGCCACCCAGGCGCCCCTGTTCTCTCCATATTTTGAGAACCACATAAGACAATGTTATTCAAGAAAAATTTGGAAAACTCAAAAGGAGCAGTAAAGCTTCTTGTATATACCCATACTTTTGTTCTTTCCATTGTTCCTTCCTCCTTCCAGATAATCCAAGATTCCTTCTTTTATCATTTCATTTACATGTAAAAAACGTCTTTAGCCATTCTTTTAAGGTAGTTGCACTGGTGATGAATTCTCTACGTTTTCCTTCATCTGAAAATGTTTTGATTTCTTCTTTCCTGAAGGAAAATTTTGCAGATATAAAGTTCTAGTTCGACAGTTCTTTTCTTTCAGCACTTAAAAAATGTTGTGCCACTTTTTAAAAATGGCATCCATAGTTTCTGATTAGAAATCTTTTATCATTCGAATTGTTTCCCAATTGGTAAGGTGTCATCTCTCTCTTTTTTTTTTTCTGCTTTCACAATTGTTACCTTTGTCTTTAGTTTTCAGAAGTTTGACCATGATGTGTCTTTTTTTTTTTTTTTTTTTTGATTGAGAGAGAGGGTGAGGAGCAAAGGGAGAGAGAGAATCTCAAGCAGGCTCCATGCCCAGTCCAGAGCCCAATGCAGGGCTTGACCTCACGACCCTGAGATCATGACCTGAGCTGAAACTAAGAGTTGGACACTTAACTGACTGAACCACCCAGGCATCCCCGACTGTGATGTGTCTTGATGTGGATTTCTTTAGCTTTATCCTGTTTTGGCTTTAATCTATAGATTTTTGCCTTTTGCTAAATTTTTATCATTTTTAGCCATTATTTCTTTAAGTACTTTTACAGCCCCTACCTCTTTCCCCTTTTTTTCCAGGATTATGATGACAGGAATGTTAGATCTTTTGTTATAATCCCATAGGTCCTCGAGGCTCTGTTAAATTTTTTAAGTCTATTTTCCTTCTGTTGTTCAGATTGGGTAAGTTCTATTCTGTCTTCAAGTTCACTGATTCTTTCCTCTGTTATCTACATTCTGATGTTGAGCCCATCTAGAGAGTTACTCATTTTGGTTGTGGTATTTTTTCAGTTCTCAATTTTCCATGTGGTTCTTATTAATATCTTCTACTTCTTTGCTAAGACTTTCTATTTTTTTTTTTAAATTTGTTTCAAGTGTGTTTGTAATTGCTTCTTAAAGCATTTTATGATGGCTGTTTTAAATCTTTGGCAGTTAATTCCAATATCTATTTCATCTCATTGTTGATTCCTATTATGAGACGGGTTTTTTTTTTTTTTTATGAAACTCTGAATATTTACAATTTCTTTTTTAGCAGGTCTCCTTTGACCCTACACTAGTCGAGAAACATAGCCTTGTTACTGACAGGTGGGGGTTTAAGTGCAGGTTTCCTACTAGGTCTCTGCTGAAACCACCCTGAATGGGAGGGAAAGGGGTCTTATTACTACTGGTTGGAGGTAGGAACTTCCAACTAGGCCCTTTAGACACTATTCCAGCAAGGAGGGGGATGAGTCCCAGGTGGCCTTCACTGAACCCAGAGAAGAGGAGCTTGTTATGTTGGGTGGGGATGAAAGTCCTTACCTCCCCATTTGACCTCCTCTGACACCACCTTGGTGGTGGGAGGAGAAGGGGTACCTTCTTACAGCCATAGGCTAGACTAATTGAATCAGAATTGCTGGGGTGGTACATGGCATAGTGTTTCACAGCTGCCCTGTTGATTTCAGTGTCCTTGCAAACAAGTTTAAAAACTATTGCTTTAGAATTTCCTTTAGTGAGGAGTCTGTTGGTGGTAAACTTTGCTATGCTTATCTGGAAATTTTGTATTTTGGCCCATTTCTTGAATGATAGCTTAGTGCGTGTACAGTTATTTTCTCTCAACATTTTGAAGATATGAATTCACCATCCTTTGGTTTCCATTTTTGCTTATGAGAAGTCAACTAGCAGTCAGCTTGTGATTTCTCTTCAGGTAACTGGGTTTTCTTTATGGCTGCACTTAAGATTTTTTCTCTTTTTTCTCTATAATCTTCATTTTCAAAATGTGTTTAAGTGTATAATTCTTTTTCTTTAAATTGCTTGAAATTTCTTGTGCTTCCTAAATCACCATATTTATATTTTTCTTCAATTCTATAGAATCCTCAGTCATTGTTTTCTTAATTAGTGTCTTTCTCTCATGTGGTATGATGTGCTGTTCAGGCCTTCTTCCCTCCCCTTTGGGGAAGAATCTGTTGTAATAGTTGTGGGAGTGCTGTGGGCAGGTAGCCTTCA